TAATTATTTATTGAATTTAATAATCCATAAAATTATAAACGTACTATTATTACATAATTTGTTATTAATTTTGTAAAATATTAAATTATTATTAATATGAATATTATGAATTCTATTATAATTATTTTTCTACTTTTAAGAATTGTTTTTTAAATTTATTACATAATTTCGTTATTTTAACTAGTTAAAATTTTTTTGTGTTAAATATTTTGTTAATTAAATATTTAAATAATATGTAAAATATTTAATACTATTGATTATTTTAATTTTATTTATTTTAATGTTATTACGTAATATTAAATATTTTGTTATATTATTTAGCTATTTTTAATGTTTTTTAAGATTTTTAGTTATTGAAATATTTAAATAATGTTCTATTTTTTAATGTTAAATTTTTATTATTGGAATAACATTTAAATTGAATAATTCATAAAATTATAATTTATATTGTTACTACATAATTTCATGATGAATTTTGTAAAAGTATTGAATTATTAATAATATGAATATCATTAAATCTGTTAATTTTTTATGTTTTGAATAAATATTTTAAATTTAGTATATAATTTCGTTATAACATTTAAATAGTTCTGAATTTTTTTAATTGAAACTTTCTTTAGATATATATAGATAAAAAGTGGGGGCGAGGATAAATAGGAATTAGAGATAGTTTAGGTACTAAATTAGAGATAATTGAAGAGATAAATAGGAGTTAGAGATAATTAGGAATTATAGACAATTTAGGAGGATGTGGGGGGAAAGTGGTGCCTCTTGGATAAACATTAAAAAAGTTTTATGATTGTTAAAAATATTTAAGCATATGTAATTTCCTTATTGGTTTAATGGATAATTATGTAGAACTAAGAAAATAAAAAATTCAAAAAAAACAGAAAATTAGAAAGAGGGGTTTGAAGGAAGGAGAGGGCTACTGACATGATATGACCAATTTTCATATATATTTTATGAGATATCTTTCCTCCTTTCCTGTTAATTAAATGGTAGATTTCCATAATTGTAAATATTATTCATTCAATATAAAAATGAGAGCCTACCCAAATTTTGGTTAGGTCAATTCACCCATTCATACTCTTTCACATTTAAGGTTCAAATGATTTTCAAAAACAATGAACTTTGGTCCATAAGGGCATTAAACTTCCAATGTAACTCCTTCACCCATGAGATTGTCTGAAAGGTATTTCCACTTTCCACTTTATCATCAGAAGATACAAAACAACTCCTTCAACCTTTTCTAATTCTCCACATAAAAGGCTTATTCACAATTACCAACAAATTACCTGCACGCACAATTAGTTACATAAATTTTAAGCTTATCCCCATAGCCTTTTTTGTCTTTTTTTGATAAATGAAAAGGTTGCAGGCCTCTGACGAATAAATATCAATGAACAAACGATAGATCATAAGAAAAGCCTATTCCTGTTTAGTCTCCTTAACTCCAGGTTCCAATCCAACAATTTGTATTTTGCCAGAACCAGAAGGGTTAGTAAAACACAGGTTCTAGGTCCCATCGCACGCTGCTCTGCACAAAAGCCTAGGGCACTAAAATCTGAGATAAGATCAGTGGTATGATTGTTTTCCTTATAATAAGGCGGGTACACTGAACTGATCGCAAGTTTCAAGTCTTTAATAGCAATCGAAATTAACAAACTTCCGAAATTGTTTACCTTCTATTGCAGCGCTCGAGTCTCTCTGTCTGGATCTGCTCCTTACCTTCTATCACAGCTCTCGGGGTCTCACACCGACCTCACAGTCACATCCTTACGTGTATCGGAAACATCTCCCATGAATAATAAGTACAGATACAGGAGATGTTCTCGGTGTGAGGCGCGCTTTACGAGGAACTGATTCGGATTCCCGCCAAAAAACAACAGAAAAAACGGAAAAGGAAGATCTCAAGTATTCATCTAAGGAGCAATAAGTTGATGGGTTTTTTCATCCCCAAATCTCTCACTTGGATTTTGTACTTGACCGACATCTCTTTCAAGTTTCGATAACAAACAAGATATAAATGGGTTTCTCCAACATTAACCCAACTTAAGAAAAATCAGATAGAAGCTCAGGAATGGCGGAAAGTGTCAGGGTATGTTCCGAGACAGGGAGACGACCTTGCTTTTTTAAGGTTTTCTTACCCGAGCTCAGCTCTGAACGTCTGGTAATTTTTTGGGTTTTGTTTCATCTTCTATTTTGTTTGCTAAGAATCTCTTGAAATGGAAATGGCATCAATGTTTTTGTTGCTGCTTTATTGATGATAGCCTGATGAACCAGTTCTTTCCACTGCAGAAAATCCCATTGGCCTTTCTGAAACACATGAAGGGTCAAGCATCAGGAGCTGTTTGGTTAAAAGGTCCTAGTGGAAATTCGTGGCACGCAAACTTGATCAGCAATCCAGATGGTCTATTTCTCGAAGATGGTTGGAAAGCTTTTCTGAAAGACCACTTGATCCAAGTTGGAGACTTCCTTGTTTTCAGATACGATGGTAATCTCCATTTCTCTGTGCAAGTATTTGATCGAAGTGCATGCGAGAAAGAAGTTGCATTTGATGTCAAATCCAACCTCGGCAAAGACAACAACTCCTTTGCAGAACGTGAGGAGAAGAAGAAGACAGGTGAAGAGAAGACAACAGACGTCCTGGGTGCCTCTTCACCGAGTCCCTTTGAAGCTGCTGCGCTGAAGAGAAAGAGAGTGGACGATGACCCTCCTCAAGCCGCTCAAGAAAATTTCGAGAGTAAAAACGACGATGAAAACGCTTTTGATAAGAGGTTCTGTGGAAGAAAAGATGCAACTCGAACAAGTGAAAGAAAGGAATCCGCTCCCTTGTCCAGTAAGAGAAAGGAAGGTGGTAGAGCACCGAGAAATTCTAGTCGTTTGATGTATTTATCTCAGACAAATGCTTGTGAACATGAACCAGGTATTAATGCTTGTTTTCATGGATTTCTGCATACTAATAGCTGATAGTTGTACAATGATCAATTTATCTTAATTAATTACAATCTTAGAGGTGTTTTCATGTGTTTATCATAAGAGTATGGGTCATTCTATTGAGTGTTTAAACCATGGTTTGCGGTGACATGCACAGACGAACGTCTTCCATCTGAGAAACAAAGCAAACCTTCAAAACTTGGAAGGGAGATGATGAAGGGCAAAAAATGGAAGGAGATGGGGATTTTACATCGTCAATGCTGTTTTTCAAGGAGGTTCACCACTGAAAAAGAACGAAAAGAACTTTTCAAGGCACTCAAGTCTTTTACCTCTGGATTTCCTTATTTTGCGAAATTTATGAAATCAACCTATGTATGCAAGAAAGATAGTCTGGTGAGTTTGCTGTGTAATCTTTGTAGCTTCTTTTAACTTGTTTAATCATCTATATATACTTCTATTTAGTTATGTATTATCTTGATGAAGGGTTCATAGTAAAAACCTGGTTTATCCATCTAGCTTCACCAAGTAATCATCAATTCACAAAGGAGTCTTGACGGGGCAATACCAGTACTATCAGTGGCATCTCAAATTCCAAAGGATTAGGTTGAACAGTTCTTGAAGCTTGGATAAGGATAGGTCCACCCATACTGCTGAAATTTAATTAATTACAGGGAAAATTCAGTGGCTATTTTGGACCCGAACTTTCCTCTGTTCCCTCCCACAATACTTGGGTAACTAGAGCACCTAACTTTCCTCGGAGTGCTATGCAAGGTTTTAAAAACCAGACCGAACACATAACCGTTTTGGGGACAGGTTCTCATGTCGAATGGTCCGACTGTCCGGTTTGAACAGATGGTCTGTTCTAACTTAAAAATTAATTAAAATTAAAAAACGGTTAAAACCGTTGTTCGAGTTAATGGGTTGATGGTTCGACTGACCAGGTCAACGGGTCATTAGTTAAATCAATGGTTTTTGGCCCAAGAATGGTTTTAAGGTGGAATGGAACCGGTTGTCTGACCGATTTCCAGATCAACTGGTCCAACCATCTGGTCCAATCCGGTTTTCAAAATCATGATGCTATATACAATAGTTCCACGCTTGTAATAATGCAATTTACTGATTTATTTTTGTTTATCCATAAAGTGAGATAATACATTTGTTATATAAGGAGGTGTTGGGGGGATATATAATGCAGCCTCAGTTTATAATTGAGTGAGATATATAATACATTTGTTCATCTTTTTTGCTTCCTTGTTAACTCTTTTATTGCTTTTCTTCTCCCAATGAATTTGTATGTACTAACTGGATACCAGTTATGCATGCAGCCAATTGCTGGTTGCTTTGCTAGGGAGCATTTACCTCACGACGAAAATGGAATCATTCTTCGGACTTCAAATGGAGCTTGGATTGTGGAATTGGTTCAACATTCGAAAAGGCATTTTTTTGGTTCAGGGTGGCGAAAGTTTGTACGTGATAGCACGATAAAGGAAGGTGATGTCTGTGTCTTTGAGCTTGTGGCTAAAATTGAAATTCATGTTCACATCTTCCGGGGTGGAAAAGAGTACTTCTGTTTCTAGTTCTTCTCGCCTTGGCCATTGAGTTGAGAACATTGAGAAGATGACCCAAATGCAGGTGAACAGAATAATCAGAATTTCTCTTTTGTTTCATCTTGATTTGCCTCGTCAGAGAAGAGGGATGATGTTGTCTTGGTTGGCCTCAAATTCGTTTATGTAAAGGAAGGCCTGTTGATATTTGATGATTTTTTTTATTTTTGACAATAGTTTTCATTTTTTATTATTAATCGGAAGCTGTTTATTTTTGTATATTTCCTTATGTATGGTTTTTCTCTGCTAATATTTTGATGGATTTGCTTGACATTTTCACAAAGTAATCAATCTCATTTTCCCCCTCGGGCTGCCAATGCACCGGATATTGGTCCAATCCAATCCGATCCGGTATGAATCCGTTATAAATGGTTCTACCATATTGGGTTGGTTTAATTGAATGTCTGGACTTCAAATTGGTGTTAATTTAGATTGGGTCGAACCCAAACCTTGTTTCATAGGCACACTCGTAATACTCTTATCTTATGTCAATTAATCAGATACTTGACTGCCCATATAAATCCATTACAAATTAATGGGCCAGGTCCAATCCAATCCAATAAATTAATACTCTGGACTGTTAAGTTTGGACTGGTCCAATTGAATATTTTATTGGTCTTGATTCAGACAGTCCAACCCAAACCTGGTCCATTAACACCTTTACTCTATTTTTAGAAATCAAAGCATCTAAACCTGGTCCATTTGGCACGTCTTTTGGCTTTTTAGAAGCCTGGTAGTTTGCATTTTGATCTTTTCCTATTTGGTTGGGAAAAGATATAATTGCTGAAAGCCGCAGCCCCAAAAAGAACAATGCAGTTTGTCAATGGTCTAAGCAGTTCGTCCATGAAGTCCTTCAACCATTAATAGATGCTTATCTTGATCTTTTGAACTCAAAACATGCCTTCAGCCATCAATGCCATCATATTGAAGATTTTGCTATGTTTATGTTCATTTGAATGCAGTTTCAAAGACTTCAACTTTTAATGCATGCATGTTTATACAAGAATTATAGAAAAACAATAAAAGTATAGAAAAATTCAGAGAACATGTAAAAATAGAAAATACAAATAAAAAGGAAATTGTAGAAATAAAATATACAATAATTAAAAAACAGACATAAATATCTTAGCTTGTTTCTCTTTCTTTAAATTCTATTTCTTTGACCCTTCTTAATGTAGTGATTCTCATAAATATCAGTTTTCTGTATTGAAACCTGGACACAAGTTTATGATGAAACAACTGTTCTGCACCTGTTGCAATGGTACAAGGCTCATCCATCAACCCACAAGTGTTTTACACCAATTCATTATTTCAGATCTCATTTCAAGTTGAAAACACTTGGAAAATGATGGATATCATATCCAATCTAATTGAATCATTAACAAATGACAGATCCCATTTTTTAAGTTATTTCTTTATATTTTGATAAAAAGGAAGGATCTAACAAATGAACCAAGTCTCTGGAAACGATTCTAGAGGGGGTAGCATGTCAATAACAAAACCAAAGGGGTAGCATGCCTCTAAGCATCAGAAAAACAAATGAACTAAGTCTTTGGGAAGCTCATTAATAGATAAAGATCGATCATCAACTACTTCATGAATTAACCAATTTGTCGCGTGATTAGCTTCCCAATAAATATGATGATACCATGATTCATCCGCATGCCTAGACGATGATGTTCCTTAATCTTTATGAGGGGCCATATCTCTTTTTTAGGGGGCACGATATCTCATATATATGAGGAACATTTTTTAAGTAAATTTTGGGGTCATTTGGCAAGTCTTTTTTGAAAGATCTTCTGGAACCTCTGGTAGTCAAAAGACGATGTGAGTTTTTGCATCAAAATCTTAACAGCTTAAAGACTATTTGGTTAAAGGCGCGTCTATTCATGCGTCTTTTCGTGCAAAGACGAGTTGAAAAAAGGCAAAAAGCTCAATTTGGAGCTTCCCGAAAATAGTGCAAAATGAGCTTCCTGTGTCTTTTCAGGGCTATGGCTTTCGGCGGCTAGATCTTTTCCCAACCAAACTAGAAAAGACCAAAACGCGAACTGCCAAGCTTCTAAAAATCCGACAGCCCATATGAAAGGACACGCCAAACAGGGCCTTAGATACCTAAATAGCATTTTAAAAAATGAACAAGATTTAATAATGAGTATTTTTTTCCTCTCATCGAAACAAACTTCTGTTTGTTATTTCCTTTTTTGGTGACAGTCATACAACATCAATTTATTTATTTTTCTAGTAATTAGCACAATTGTTGCAATGGAGATTTTTCTTGCCCGAGATTTTTTCTTCTCGAAATCTATATATATATATATATATTAAAACAAGGTAGCGAAGAAATTTTCTCCTTTTTTGAATTTTTTATTTTTTTTATTCCATGTCATTTATGAAACAACCAATGAGATGTACTTTCCCAAAACCTAAATAATCTCTTCTCTTAAAATTTCTACTAAACTACCCCCCCACTATCCCCCACTTTCTCCAAAATTATCTCTAATTCCTATTTATCCTCTCCCCTACTTTTTATCTATATCTATCTAAAGAAAGTTTGGATTAATAAAAAATTAAGAATTATTTAAATATTTTAACAAAATTATATAATAACGTTAAAATATTTATTAAAAACACAAAAAATAATTTTATATTTTTATAAAATATATCACAAAATTATGTACTAACAATTTAAATTATGTTTTTTATGGATTATCAATTTAAATAAATAAAATTAAAATAAAAAAAAATTTTAAATATTTTATAGATTAATTAAATATTTATCATAACTGTATTTTAAATAGTTAAAATAATGGAATTATGTAATAAATTTAAAAATTTCTTCAAAGTAGAAAAATAATTATAACATATTATTTAAATTAATAAGAATCTAATATATTGCAAAATTAATAATGAAATTATGTAATAATAGTATAAATCATGATTTTATGGATAATTAAATTCAATAAAGAATTAATATTTTACATATTATTTAAGTATTTAAATAACTATATATTTTAAATAGCAAAAAATTTAACATAACTAGATTTTAAATAGTTAAAGTAAAGAAATTATGTAATGAATTTAAAAAATTCTGAAAAGTATAAAAATAATTATAACATAATATTGAAATTAATAATAATTTTATATTTTTACATAATATTGTAAATAACTAATTTCACTTATATCAAGTAATAATTCGAGAAAATAACTTTCAAAAGAAATAATATTTATTAATAATAATTTTAATTATATAACTATATAATTATATATAATTATATATACTAAAATTAATATTTATTGTATTTCAGTAATTATTTATTGTTTTTTGTGATAAATGTATTTTCAATGATTATGTATAAATTTATTTTGTTTTGTTAATTAACAGAAAACTTTCAATAATTATTGGAGATTAAACTACTATTATTGAATTTTTTAAATTTAATTTATTGTACTTATTTGTATTTATTGTATTTTTGTTATAACTTAATGATTAATTAATGTTTAGTAGAGATTAAACTTTTATTTGATATTATACTATTTATTGACTAAGTTAATATATTTTTAGTACTTATTTTATTTTTGTAATTATTGTATTTTTTTCATTATCAATATATTTCTAATAATTGTGTATTTTCGTTATAAATTTTCAATAATTGTTGGAGATTAAACTATAGTTATTTATCGGAGATAAGACTATTAATTTAGCTAAAATTATGAGTGTTCATGAGTTGTTTCGGTCTGGCCGTAGGTTACTTGGCCAACTAAATTGACTTGGTTAGTGATGTAGCGCGATCCGGTCACTCCTAGCTGGCACTCACGTGGCTCCTAGAAGATACCTGAGGTGGAGAAGAAGAAGAATCCCCAGGGGGTTTACTCGGCGGGAACACTCCGATGCTTAAGTTAGTACTCTGTAGGAGAAGACAAGGGCTAAGAGTGCAGATAGCGCGAGTGTAGAAGATGATCCTGATCATACCTGTCCTCCTTGATATTAAACTCCTTGTAGCAGAAATCCATTACATTCGGCCCACTGGCCTCTGACAGGGCAAGTATAACCACCACTATCAGCCTACCACAACCGTTACAGGCAGAGCTGAGGTGGCACGCGCGGGGCCGTCGCTGCAGGGTACGTGCCTATCAGGTGTAAAGCACCTTCTGAAGATGGCGGGCACAACGCTGTCTGATGAGGGATATGGCTGCTGCCTCCAGATTTGTCGAGTATGGTGGTCGGGCAGGAGGTCTTCCTACGATATTCCGAACTACCCTTCCACGAGATACCCTGTGTCGGGCTATCTCGTAAACGGCGAGCTGCCTGGGGCAAACTAAGCCGAGCTGTCTGGCCCGAGGTGTCTTCACCTCGGGACGCCTATAGGCGGATCGGTGTGTTCCTGTCTAGGGGTGGCTCGAGATCCACTGGGAGGAGCTCGGGTATCAGGAAAGGTCAAGGGACCCCGAGCTTGGAGGTAGCTCGGGGTGCTTTAGCCCCTGGGGTGGTGGTGCAAGCCAGGTGGGTCCCGGCGAGTAGTCTGTTCCACCGAGTTGCCGAGCTGAACTCGGTGGGACCTTCCCTCCGAGTTGTGACTGCGCCTACTGTGTTGTCGCGCTGAGTCACCATTTGAGCAAGGTCACGCATACGTGTACCCATGCCATGAGGTCGGGCCAAATCACCCTCCATGAATTGCCCCCCACTCCTTGTGCTGGCCTTGTTGACCTAGCGCGGGGAGTTCATGTCGCGCCGAGTGGATTTGGCTTCAGCACTTATGCCGCTTCGTCACGCGTTCCGTCCAGCTGGACCAGTCTAGTTTCCGGGTCGCATTCAACTTACACGCGGACGTCACGCGGTTTGGACTTCACGGACGCGAAAAAATGCGCTAAACTGATTTCGCCTCAATGAACCCATAGCCGGTTTTTCTAAGAGCCGTTGGATCGTCTTGGTCGCGACCGTTGATGCTCGGGCACAGCAGCTATAAATAGTGGGGGACCCTTGGCCATTTCTTCACCACAAAGTCTCTAGCATCAAAGTTGAGCTCGCATCTGAGGTTCCTGGCTCGGGTCTTCTAGCTCGGTTCGTTCCTCTAGTCAGTTTGCGTTTCTTGTGGTGAGTCCCCGAGCTCTTCTTTCTTTTCCGAGCATTCTTTCCCTTCTGTCTCATAATGTCATCTAGCGTAGATGTAGATAGTCTCATCGACGAGCCCGAGGTGGGTACCTCGGCTCAGGGTAGCTCCTCTGCCGCCCAGCCGTCCGATGTGCGTGTGGCTTCGGGTCGTCTAGCATCCACCTCCCACCGAGGTCAGGTGCGAGATCAGTTCGGCCCTTCCATCATGATCCCGGAGAGGCTCCAGGACCTCATACAGAGGTTTAATCTCCCTGGGCAATATTCATACAGCCTTCCTACTGGCAACTTCCCATGGGAGCACGGTCCTGACGAGATCGTGGTCTTCAGGGAGCAATTGATAGCCGGACTCCGACTTCCTCTCCACCCCCTGATTGTTGAGGTGCTGGTGCACTTTAACATCACTTTGGACCAACTTCACCCGAACTCCATACGGAATGTGGTTGGGTCCATTTCTCTTTGCTTTGATCATTCTCTCTCCATCGACCTAGACATTCTTAGTACAATCTTGGCAATAAAGAAGAGTGCTTCGGGCACTCTCCCCAGGCACAGACTGTCTTATTACCTGTCTCCTTGCCTGGGTTTCAAACTTATGCACAAGCTCCAAAGCAAAGTCCCGGCCTGGAAGCGGGACTACTTCGTAGTTCGGAGCAGCACGGGGTGGCCCTTCCCTACTGACTGGAGGGTGGCTGTTCAAGACCCCGATGTCATCCTAGACGGGAAGACCAAGAAGGCACTCTAGTCGCTGGCTCAGCTCGGGTTGAATTACAAAGACTTCACATCCGAGGATAAGCTCATCCAGGCTGGCTTGAGCCTGGGTAGGTTTTTCTTCACTTCGGCTTTTCTGTTCATGTATTTACTTCGGGGTTACTAACGCCGAGCTTCACTGCAGGTCCCATGGAGGTAGAGAAGATTGACGGTCAAAGACTCTTCTGTCAGATGAAGAGGAAGAAGCGCGTGGCCAAGAAGGCTCGCGTTGAATCTCCGCAGGCCTCTGCCGAGGCTCAACCTTCACAAGCCCCGGCTCCGGAGCCCGAGCTCCCCCGTCATCAACTTGGAGGAGGACACGGTGCCTCAGGCCCCCGAGGTGGCGGCAAAGCCCACGGCGGAGCCTACCGAGACCATCGCCGGGGGTGATATGGGAGCTACCTTTGGGGTACGCCCTGCGGAGACAACTGCCAGGGCCTGTCCTGCTGATGCTGCTGCCGAAGCTTCCGAGGAGTCTGCCCATGCGGCGGAGATGACGGCGTCTAGCTCGGAGAGCCAGGGGTGAAAGCATTCTGAACCCCCGGTGTGGTCTCCAGAAGAGCAAGGAGGCCATGTACCCGGAGGAGGTCGCAGAATGGGATAATCTCAGTCCTGGTCAGCTCGGTGCCCGGGCTACTTCTCATACTATGGTGGTGAGTTCCCTGCGAAAGATCCTCCCCTTCTCTTTTCTTTTTCTTTTTTTTTTGATTGACTGGTCTTGCCTTCTTGTAGCTGAATTCCATCGTGTGTGCTTTGACCTTCCAGCCTGACCGGCACCTGAGACGGGCTCTGGAAGCCGAGAAGTCATCCCGTGAAGCCCATACTGAACCGAGGGCAGCACGGGGTCAGGTCCACCGCCTTCAGAACGACGCCTCAGCTCATAAAAGCTTTATTGAGGTGCTGTTGGCGGAGAAGAACGAGTTGGCCCGAGACAAGGATAGATTGAGGGCCGAAGTGAACAGTTTCAAGGTCAGTCAGGAAGCACTGAAGCTGGAGATAGACAGTCTCAAGGCAGACCGGGACAGCCTCAGGGCGGATCGGGATAAACTTAGGGCAGACTGGGACGCCCTGAAGCTTGAGTTGCAGGGCCTTAAAAAGGCCAAAGGAAAGTTAGAGCAAGAGGTGGAGTACCTTCGAGCTGACATCAAGGAGAAGACGGTGATTTTTGAGGACGCCCTCGAGGAGACCAAAGTGCAGGCTGTCATTGATTATGTCCAGTCGTCGAAGTTTGATGATGTGATGACTGAGGCTTACTGCAAGGGCTTCAAGCTCAGCCGGTGGCTGATCAGGCACCTCTACCCCAATCTGGATACCAGCGCCATCACTACTTCCCGGATCACTGATGACGTAGTGCGTCAGTCGGCGAATGATCCAGATTCTGAAGACGAAGGCGCTGATAATGAAGCAGAGGATGCTGGTCCCGTTACTGCCCCCGAGGGAGTCCCTGGAAAAGACGACGAGCCTCCGAAATAGCTCGGTCCTTGTATTTATAGGCTTATTCTTCTCTTTCTCTTTCTCTTGTAACAGAAGCTTTGTATTGAAATCTTCATAGTGAAAAATTCGCTTTGCCAAACACTTGTGCAATTTTCTTTTACTTGCCGAAGTGGTTGTCTTACTCTGAACTGTTAGGCTACTAGGCTGATTACCCGAAGTGTGGGTTCCTCAACTATCGTGGTCCCGAACTGTTAGTAGGGGTAGCCTTGTGTACCCCGAGGTGAGCGGCATAGTAGGGTACATGCCCGACCTGTCTGCACCTGGGTTAAGTTGACATTAGTTGTCCTTTACGGGTTCAATTTGTTTCATGCCGGGGTAGGCTATCTGTCGCAAGGTTCTTGCCCGAACTGCCTATGCCTTAGGCATTGCAGGTACTATGGCGCCGAAGTCTTTTGTTAACTCGGCTTTTTAGCCCTTAAGCTGGAGGAGCGGCTTATAATCCGTTCTCCTAGAGTTTGCCCATGCCATAGAGGCAGTTGGGTTTCGTTGCGCCGAGATCATGTTAGCTCGACATTTTGGCCCTTAGGCTCTAGGAGTGGCTCGTGCCCTACTCAGTTGTTACAAATAGTATTGTCTTAAGTTGACAATATTCAATGCCCGAGGTACTTGTTTCCCTTCGAGGGTCTCGAGCTCATACGTTCCTTCCCCGAGTACTCGTTTCACTCGGTAAGGACCTTCCCAGTTATACCCAAGCTTGCCAGCGCCGGGCTTAGGTACCATAACCTTACGAAGAACCAGGTCGCAAACGCGGAGGTTCCGCTTCTTGACCATGGCGTTATAGTACCGAGCTACTCTCTGCTGGTAGGCTGCGGTCCTAATGTACGTGAGGTCCCTCACTTCGTCGAGCAGATCGAGGTTGGTACGGAGCTCATCTTCATTCGTCTGGTCACTGTATGCTTCTAGTCGCAGCGTAGGGACTTCGATCTCTACGGGGATGACTGCTTCGGTGCCGTAGGTGAGGTTGAAGGGTGTTTCTCTCGTGGTGGTCTTCTCCGTGGTCCGGTAGACCCATAGAACGCTGGGTAGCTCATCTGCCCACAACCCTTTAGCTCGGTCCAGCCGTGCCTTCAGTCCACGGAGGATGGCTCTGTTCATGACTTCTGCCTGACCGTTTGCTTGAGGGTGTGCGATTGAAGTAAAATTCTGTCGGATTCCCATGTCTTGGCACCAGTCTTGGAATTTGATGTCCTCGAACTGCTTGCCGTTGTCATAAATCAATACCCGAGGTAACCCGAAGCGGCATACGATGCCCCATTTGGTGAAATAGTCCACTGCTACTAGTAAGAACTTCCTCCCACCTATTGCTGGCGGGAATGGCCCGTGTAGATCGATGCCCCATTTTGCAAAGGGCCACGGGCTGGTGACATACTTGAGGTTGGCAGCGGGTTGGTGGTGAATATTGGCATGCCTCTGGCATTTGTCACATTTCCTAACGAGCTCGATGGCGTCTACTTTCATTGTTGGCCAATAATACCCCTGTCGAAGTGCCTTCTAGGTGAGGGCCCTGCCCTCCAAGTGTCCGCCGCACAATCCCTCATGAGTGTCACGGAGTATGAGCTCGGCTTCGGTAGGTCGCAAGCAACGCAGGTAGAGGAGCGTGTAAGATCTCCGGTATAACCGTTTGTCTATCATAACGTATTTGCCTGCGTGGCGCTACACCCTTCTGGCTGCATTGCGATCTGCAGGGAGGGTCCCATGTAGCAAGAAGCTCGCGAGCGGGTTAATCCAGATCGGCTCTGCTTGAACGACGGGAGCGACCTCCTCTGCCCCCTCGAGAATGCTAGGCCGAGGCAAGTCCTCTATGTACACGGTTCTCATGGTGATGTCGCTAGCACTGGCTAATCTGGATAGGGCATCAGCCTCAGTGTTTTTCGACCTTGGGATTTGCCTGATAAAGTGTGACTGGAAGATGAGAAGGGCCTCTCTGACTTTGGCTAAGTAGGCGATCATGGTTGGCTCGCGAGCTTCGTACTTGCCGGTGACCTGGTTGACCACGAGCTGCGAGTCGCTGCAGATAACGATGTGCTTTGCTTTTACTTCTCTAGCTAGAGCTAGTCCAACTATCAACGCCTCGTACTCCGCTTCATTGTTAGATGCTGCGAACTCAAAGCGTAGCGCGTACTCCAGTTTCGTGCCACTTGGGCCGTGTAGAACTATTTTGGCTCCGCTGCCCTGTTGGTTTGAGGAGCTATCTACATGAAGGATCCAGGGCTCCTCATCCCAGCTCGCGCTTGGTCGAACTAGGAGAGATGCCACACTGGCTGCTACCTCACGGGGCTCAGACTCGACCAGCTTGGGGGCTTCGGGCTTACCCGAGCTGGGAGCCTCGTGCTCAACTAGCCTGGGGATTTCGGAGCTGAATGTGCACTCGGCTATGAAATCTACTATGGCTTGGGCCTTAATGGAAGTTCGCGACTTATACTGGAGGTCGTACTCGCTGAGCTCAACGGCCCACTTCGTCAACCGACCAGAGACCTCGGGCTTAAGTAAGACTTGCCTCAGAAGCTTGTCGGTGAGAACGATAACAGTGTGAGCCTGGAAGTACGGGCGGAGCTTCCGAGCTACAATTACTAGTGCGTATGCTAGCTTTTCTATCTCTGGGTATCTCGTCTCTGCTCCCTGCAATACTTTACTAACATAATAGATGGGTCATTGAACCCGATCTACTTCTTTTATTAGTACCGAACTTACCACTTCGTTGCTTGCCGAGAGGTACAGTTCTAAAATATCGCCCTCCTCGGGCCGGGTTAAGATTGGCACAATAGCGAGCTATTTCTTGAGCTCGTCAAATGCGAGCTGGCAGTCTTGGGTCCATTCGAACCCTTTGCTCTTGATTGCCTTAAAGAACGACAGACAGTGGTCCGCCGATTTGGACATGAAGCGGCTCAGGGCGGCTATGCGGCCATTCAACCTCTGAACCTCCTTCAACTTCCGGGGTGGTCTCACATCTAAGATGGCCTTAATTTTGTCCTGGTTGGCCTCATTGTCGCGCCGGTTAACGATGTATCCTAAGAACTCGCCCGAGGTCACACTAAATACACACTTGTTTGGGTCAGTCTAATATTAAATTTACGAAAAATTTCAAAAACAGAATGCAAGTCTTGTATTAATTCATGTGAAAATTGAGTTTTGATGACCATGTCGTCTACATAGCATTCTACTTTTTTGCCAATTAATGGCGCAAACAACTTATTTACAAGTCTTTGAAAGGTTGCCCCTGCGTTTTTCAAACCCGAAGGGCATAACCTTGTAACAGTATAGACCGAACTCTGTGATGAAGGCAGTCTTTTCTTCGTCTGCTGGGTCCATCTTGATTTGGTTATAGCCAGAATAGGCATCCAAGAAACTTCGCAACTCGTGCCCTGAGGCCACGTCCACCGAGCGGTCAATTCTGGGGAGCGGGAAGCAGTCTTTTGGGCAAGCCCGGTTAGGTCGGTGTAGTTGACGCACATGCGCCACTTGCCGTTGGCCTTCTTTACCAGGATGAGGTTGGCTACCCAACTAGGGTAGTGGTCTTCTCTTATGAAGTCAGCTGCGAGGAGCTTCTCGACATCCTCGTCGACCGCTTTCCATCGCTCCGGGGCTTAGGTTGCGTTTCTTCTGTCTAACGGACCTAACTACAGGATCAGTATTCAGCTTGTGAGTTATAAGGCCGGGGTCTATACCGAGCATCTCTGCCGCGGACCATGCAAAAATATCTAAATTTTGAAGTAAGAAGCTTACTAGTTCGGATCGTAGAGGTTCTTGGACGGAAGCGCCGATCTGAAGCGTCTGAGCAGGGTCTGCTGCTGAGGTCAGGACTGCGACTGTTTCTTCCGTGGGTGCGACTCGTCCTTCGCCTTGCTCCGTAGGCCGCTCCAGTTCGAGGTCGTCGGCCACCTTGGTCTTTCCCTTCAGAGCGGCGACATAGCACTTGCAGGACTCGAACTGGTCGCCCCACGCTACCCCCACACTGAAGTCTGTTGGGAACTTCATAGCCAAATGATAGGTGGAAACCACCTCCTGTAGGACATGGGTGATCGGCTGGCCTATTATGGCATTGTATGGGGAGGGGGTAGCGACCACCAGGAAGTCGTGNAGCGACCACCAGGAAGTCGTGTTTGAATCTAACTATGCAAGGCCATGTGCCGACTTCCACATGTACTGTTATTTTCCCAAGGGGCCAGACTTCTTCTCCACTGAAGCCCAGCAAAGGAGTGTCCACAGGTTTCGGGTCGCTTCTCTACAACTGAAGCTGGTCGAACGCAGCTTTGAAGATGATGTCGGCCGAGCTGCCCGAGTCAACGTGTACGCGCCTGACCTCGAAGTCATTGACTCTTTCCTTTATTACGAGTGCGTCATCGTGGGGGTAGTGGACCCCTCGCGCATCATCTTCTATGAAGAAAATTGGCTCTTCTGTCCTTGGCCGCTTCGGAGGATTCTGTTCTTCTCGGGCGGCTTCACGAACTGATGTCCGGGCTGCTGCTGAAGTACAACCCGCGACGATCGAACCTCCCACTATCATGTGGATGGTGCCTCGAACCGGCCTCTCTTCCGGAGGCTGCCTCTGTGATTGTTCGGCCGGCTTGCTACTAGACTCGGGAGCATCCTTACCGTGCTCCCCTTGCCGACCTGTTTTATTGCTATTATTATTATTTTGTACAAATTTCCTTAGGTATCTGTGACGGATGAGCTCTTCAATCTCATCGCGGAGATTTTTACAATTTTCGGTACTATGACTGTGATCTCTATGAAAACAACAGTACATATTCTTATTTCTTTCATTGGGATTCCCCCCCAAGCGGGGTGGCCACTTCACATACGGGGCATCCTTAATCGCCATCAGGATTTCGGCCCGCTTTGCATTTAGTGGGGTGTAGTCAGTTTGGTCCGCTACTGGAGCTCGGAACGACTGACCCGACTTTACTCCCCGAGCTGCATCTTTTTTCTTTCGGTTGTCCCCTTGGCTGGGAGGCTCTCCTTCCCTTTTCCTCTTCTCGGGTGCGCCCTCACCCTTTTGGTTGATCTCTTCCTCCATAGCTATAAACCTGTCCGCGTGCTTAAGAAATTCAGTTATGGTCGCCGGTTGGTTGACGACCATGTGCCATTTGAACTCTTTATGCGTCACGCCTTTCTTGGCTACAGCAAGGCGCACGACGGGGTCTAGGCGCGGTATCTACATGCACGCATCGTTGAACTGCTTGATATAACTTCGGATGGACTCTCCCTCTCTCTGCACTCTGCTGAGGAGACTTTTCTTCAGTTCGCGGACACCGCTTGCTGGTGACGAAGTGGGACATGAATGCTTGCGCGAACTGCGCCCAACTTCTTATCGATCCAGGTGCCAGGTTCCGATACCATGTACGGGCTGCTCCTCTAAAAGTGGTGGAGAAAGCCACGCACTTGCACGACTCGCTGGCTCTTGTCAGGTCCATCTGCGATTGGAAGGCATCTACGTGATCATTTGGGTCGAATGACCCATCGTACTTTTCAAGAGGGGGGAGTTTGAAATCTTTAGGCATTGGGACTGCTAGGAGCTCATGAGATAAGGGAGATTGAACTGAAAGGATGGGAGCCTTGACTTCGCCCGAGCTTACTTCTTCTTTGCCTCCGAGCTCGGGCAGGTCGTGGGTGGCAGACCGGCGAGCTTGGCGGCGGCGTCTCTGCTTCTTGGCGGGCTCGGCGTTTGTACTGCTCACCTCTGTGTTGTCTGGGATGGTATGCGCAATAAGTAGCTCAAGCCGCTGGTGGTGACTGCGGACAGAGGGATCTTGCTTAGAGCCTGCGGCTAGAATCTTGAACCTGTTCTCTAGGAACGGGGTATCGGGCTTGGAGGGCTGAGGTGACGTGGACCTGGCAAGCTGAGGTCCTCCCGATCTGACCGCCCGCGGTGAGACTTGAGTGGCTGGTCTTCCTTGTCTGCTGCGGGAGAAGGCCTGGCTCCCAGGAGGGTTCTGGGGGGCCTCTCCTCGGCGAGAAAGGTGCTCCTCTTGATGGTGAGACCTGGCTCGTTGCTAGGCTGGGTGCCGAGGAGGGAGCTGCGGTTGCTGGAGCTGGGGTTGAGGTAGCTGAAGGAATTGCTGCTGATACTGGTACTGGGAGACCTGGTGTAGCACGTGCTGTTGATAGATCTGAAACTGTTGCATTTGAGCCTGCATGGCCTGCATGCACTGCACCAAGTCCTCTAGTTGGTTCGGGTTGGCCGCTGGGGGCACAACTGAAGGTTCGGTGAAGGTTGCTCCGATTGTAGTAGGGAGTGGAGCAACGGCTGGTGCCCCTGTAAGAGGCACGTTCAGGCTAGGGGTCCCGTCCGCCGAGAGGGGGACGGTGAACTGTCCGATGCAGAAAGTAGGAAGCTGGGGCTGTTCCTTGGAGTTATCCATCTCCATGCTTCGTCCGATGTTGCTTGAGGAAGCCATGAGTGTTGAGTTTTCAAGGAAGAAAGAGCTGTGAAAGTTTAGAGAAAGGCTTTTCGAAGCATTTCCCACAGACGGCGCCAAATGATGTAGCGCGATCTAGTCACTCCTAGCTGGCACTCACGTGGCTCCTAGAAGATACCTAAGGTGGAGAAGAAGAAGAATCCCCAGGGGGTTTACCCGGCGGGAACACTCCGATGCTTAAGTTAGTACTCTGTAGAAGCAAGGAGAAGACGAGGGCTAAGAGTGCAGATAGCGCGAGTGTAGAAGATGATCCTGGTCGTACCTGTCTTCCTTGATATTAAACTCCTTGTAGCAGAAATCCGTTACATCCGGCCCACTAGCCTCTGACAGGGCAGGTATAACCCCCACTGTCCGCCTGCCGCAGCCGTTACTGGCAGGGCTGAGGTGGCACGCGCGGAGCCGTCGCTGCAGGGTACGTACCTATCAGGTGTAAAACACCTTCTGAAGATGGCGGGCACGACGTTGTCTGACGAGGGATATGGATGTTGCCTCCAGATTTGTCGGGTACGGTGGTCGGGTAGGAGGTCTTTCTGCGATATTCCGAACTACCTTTCCGCGAGATACCCTGTGCCGGGCTATCTCGTAAATGGCGAGCTGCCTGGGGCAAGCTAAGCCGAGCTGTCTGGCCCGAGGTGTCTTCACCTTGGGACGCCTGTAGGCGGATCGGTGTGTTCCTGTCTGGGGGTGGCCCGGGATCCACTGGAGGATCTCGGGTATCAGGAAAGGTCAGGGGGCCCCGAGCTCGGAGGTAGCTCGGGGTGCCTTAGCCCCCGGGGTGGTGGTGCAAGCCAAGCAGGTCCCGACGAGTAGTTTGTTCCGCCGAGTTGCCAAGCTGAACTCGGTGGGACCTTCCCTCCGAGTTTGCGACTGCACCTGCTGTGCTGTCGCGATGAGTCATCGTTTGAGCAAGGTCACGCACACGTGTACCCGTGCTATGAGGTCGGGCCAAATCACCCTCCGTCAGTTAGGTTGGGTTGGTTTTCACAAATGGTCAATTGGTTCAAAAGATTTCAACTTAAAAATTAAATTTAAATTTAAAAATTATAGTGTAATTATTAAAAAATAAATTAAAAAATTGGATTTATAAAATAAAGAATTTTAGACTAAGAAATATGGGAAATTTCTCACTTTTTCATATTAAAAATCATATATAAAATATAAAATATTAATATATATCCATGGTTAGGTCGTTCAATTTTTGTCGGTTTACAAATGGCCAAAGTGAAATTGATCCAATTTGGTTGAATTGGGAATTTTTTGAACCAAAGCCGACATAAAATACTAAAAAACCGACCAACTCAGGTCGAGTTGATCAGGTTGGCCAGTTTCATAAGTTTGATGAATAAGCTTAATTGAAATTAATTACTGTTATTTTTGTATTATAAAAAAATTATTAAAAGTAGTATATAAAATATGAATAATTATTAATTATTTAAAAAGTTGAAAATATAAAGAATTGTATAATTTTATGTGTTTCTATTAGGGTCATTTAATAGAACACACCTTATAGTTTTACATATTTACTTAAACCTACCTTATAGTTTTCATTACTAAAACATCCCATATATTTTACAATTTATTTACTTATCAACATTTCATTAAGGAGTATTTGTTTTGCCATTAGGCCCATAATTTTTTTCCAAAAGTACCCTTAACACTTTTTATACAGAAAACAAAATTGGCCAAATATAGCCAATAGAGTGGTTGTCTGTGGTATTAAAGGCAAAAATGGTATTTTTATTTTTATTTTCTTTTGATTAAATTTATTCAAATGAACATTATGGTAAATCCATGAGATAGATTTTTAATCCACTATCATCTAATGGAAGGTTGGTCAAATCCGTTGCAAATTATAAATGGTGTTTTAATAAAATGCTAACTATAAGATAGATTTAGTAAATTTATGAAACTATAAAGGTATTTTAATAAATGACCCTTTCTATTATTTATCTTTCACTTAATAAATCCTTGTGCATTGCATGGGTCCTCGCTAGTATAAAAGAAAGTTTGAACTGTGAGATGATAGAGTATCTATTTTTGTCATTTTAAAATTGTACTTTTGATGTTATTAAGAGGGCATTTTGGTAATTTAACATCTTCTGTTAGTCTGACTTAACGGTGAGGGGTAATTGTCGCAAAGTGAAAGTTGTGGAGGTGTTTGATACAAATAAAAGTTATGGGTAATTGTTTACTGACCCCACAGTATAGGGGTTTCTGTAATTTACCCTAATTTATATGTAAGAAACTAGAGTCGTTCCGCTTTTTCATTTTCGTTTTCGAAGGAAGATCAGATCGAGGCATCGAGCGCAAGGAATTCTATAGTAAGTTTGTAACTCTAAGCTCATTTCAGCTTCCCATTTAGTTTGCATGAATATATTTCAGTAATTTCCATGAAATTCGTATTTTGGATTGGTAAGATTTATCATTTTTCTTGTCCTTCTTTTTTTGCTTTTCATCACGGTGCGTAGTTGAAATTAGGGATTCAATTTCTAGTTAACATTTCTTCTGCATCGATTTGGGGTTCCTTTGAGTCAGGGTTTGATTTCTTTCTCTGTTGTAAAATATTTGTGGGAAAATTTTATCTTAATGGGGACCTTACAAATGGATCATGCGTGCATTTTAATTCCTTATCGAAAAAAAGACTTGCATTCTAAATATCCATCTACAAGAATGGAAGAGAACGAACAATCGTTTTTCGGAACACCATGTTTTTGATAATTAACTGTAATGGGATTCTTTTGTTTCAGAATGATCTTAGTTCCAGGACATGTTGGCTTTTGGCAATGCTGCTTTCATGCTAAGGGCTTTGGTTTTTAAATTCAGTGTTTCATTTCTTTATCTACGTTCTTGGTTCCTACTTCCAAACCATATTGCACCTTTGAGCTTACCTGTTGGAGTCCGTCTTGCCCACAAAATAGGATCTTTAATCTGTAACTAGACCTTTCTCGATGGTCTGGTGGCTTTTCTTGTATGCTCCATCATTGTTTCCCTGAATTGACTTGCATGGTATTACAAAAAAAAAAAAAAAGAAAAAAGTGAGTTGCATGACCACATTGCTATAAACAGTAAGTTGATTTCCATACACTCTTTAATCTATGCCTTGTACACTTTGATATTTCATCTTAAGGGGAGCACCACTTCAATAGAATTGGCAAGTAGAATTAAAAGAGGGAAATGCTTTATTATCAGCCCCTTCATATGTTCATCATAAAGTGGATTCTCATAGGATACTATAGACTATCTGTAATTACTATTTAATCAAATTCGGATCTTTGAGATGCAAATTATTCCCTTTCACTCTATTAAGTAATGCTTTTCTTTCTAGTAAAGGTTGGAGAAGAGCTTAGAATGTACTTTGTTGATTAGAATTTAAGGACAATGGCTCAGTATTTTATGTCTTACATGTTGAAATCTTTTGTTGTTAGAGCTTTCATTAATTAGAGTGATGCAATGGAGCCTCTGGAAAATGAACAAGTGGATTCTGGACAAACCAAACCAGCTCATACATCACTGATAAGTGGGCTTCCAGATGACATTGCTCTGATCTGCTTGTCAAGGGTTCCGCGTAGGTACCATCCACTCCTAAAATGTGTTTCAAAGAGATGGAGGGTATTGGTATGCAGTGAAGAGTTCCATTCATACCGTCGAGTGCATAGTCTGGAAGAATCATGGATTTATGCATTGTGCAAAGACAAATCTGAACAAATTTGCTGTTATGTTTTAGACCCCACTGCATCAAGGAGATGCTGGAAGCTCCTTCAAAGTCCCCCACCTAAATGCTTGAAGAGAAAAGGTATGGCTTGTGAGGTTTTGGGGAAAAGATTTTACCTGTTGGGTGGCTGCAGTTGGTCTGAAGATGCAGCAGATGAGGTTTATTGCTATGACGCTTCCAAGAACACTTGGGAAGAAGCTGCTCCCTTATCAACTGGCAGGTAACTTTTCCTTTAAAAATCTTTATTTGAACTCACTGAATGATGGATTCCTATTGTCTATGACATGTCAAAGTTAGAAATTTATTCTCTTCCATTTTTTAGTTGATTATAGTTTGTGAAAGGGCTGTTTTCTTATTTATAGTTACACTGTCAATACTTTTTGTTTTTTTAGTTGCAGAAAATCTGTAGACTAGATTTCTGTATGTCCTTTTGCACTGGTCGGATATCCTTAATTCCAATTTTTTCTGTTGGGTTCTGATCCAGGTTCTTGAACCACTAAATGCACCATTTTGATCATGGCATCATGCTACTACTAGAACAGGCAGCTTATGGTTGTTGCTTGTTGGGGACCACCCAAAGGAGTGGCCCTCTGGTTTCATGTCTGCATCTATTAATACCTGATCTATGTATGCACTCATGTTGCAGAGATATATTGCATGTTTTTCTCCTTTTCCTATAAAACATGTTTTCTCAACATTTTAGGATGTCCAGGAATGTACTGGGGATTTAGGAATCATAACAGTGTGTTAATAATATCAGGTGTTATTGCGTTTGTGAAGCTTTACATGAAAAACTTTATGCCATTGGAGGAGTAGTGTCAAATTCAGGCACTCCACACTCATGGGACACTTATGACCAACATACAAACAGTTGGTCATCTCACTCTGACTCCAAGATTGTCCACGATGTTCAAGATTCTGTGGTCTTTGAAGGAAAAATTTATATCCGCTGTTGTTCCTTTACCACAGTGCCACATGCAAGTGCAATTTTATATGAACCATCAAGTGAAACATGGCAGCATGTTGATGCAGACATGGCATCTGGCTGGAAAGGCCCTGCTGTTGTAGTAGATGAGACTCTTTTTGTGCTGGATCAGAGCTCAGGTACCAGGTTGATGATGTGGCAGCATGAGAATAGGGATTGGGTGCCAGTGGGGAGGTTGTCACCACTGCTGACAAGGCCTCCCTGTCGACTTGTTGCAATTGGAAAGAGCATTTTCATTATAGGGAAGGGACTTAGTACAGTAGTGATTGATCTAGACAATGCTAGAAACGTGGGAGGGGCATTGGTGAGCACATCCATCCCCACGTTAACTTCAGATGTTGATGTAATCAGCTGTAAGCTACTGTCAATATGAAAAATTGTCTTTGAATTGTACATACTCATTCTTTCTTGTAATTATTATATATCAAAGAATGGCTGGGTTTTTATACATGCTTGATGCTACAAAGTAGATGTTACATCAATTTGGATGATTTAAGGTCCTTTGGTAACTGGTAGCGACCAGATTGCATTCTCACCACCTAGATGGCTTTATGTATTATGCCATGCAAGTGTTGCCTAGATTCTTCTCTTGTATCCATTCAAGATGATCAATCACAAGTTTAACAACTAAGAGACAACAGATATTTTCTCTTTTTTGATCATTAACAATTAAAAACTTCTATTGAGATAAGTTAAAAGAATGGTATAGAACATTAGTGTACCAGGCACCCCTTATGATTAGCTAGCCTCGGCTAGCCACCATTTCAAGTTTATTTCAAGTTCTCCGTTGGGAGGTTGAGGAAAAAACACATAATCATTGTCTAGGGAGCAAAGAATAACAGTATGATTGGTGCCTTGGTGAGGAAATAGGTAAATGGAGCTCAGTTGTATTGGAAGTCATCTCCCAAGGAGTGGATTGTAATATACATATTACACGTGTGTTATAAGTGGGATAGGTAGCAATTGCTAGCCTATCAAAAGGTATCCTTGGTATGAAGTCAAATATTGCATTTCATTCTTTTATCATACTTAGAATAAACAGGAGCTAGAATTATGGTACAATCAGATGGAGACCAAGAGATATCTCAAGATGCCCTCTTTTGTTACCTTTGTTCAATAATTTACAATGAGAGATTAAGGAAGATATTTCCCATAGAATTAGTGTGGGGTGGACAAAATGGAGGGGGTGCATCAAGAATGTGATGGGAGAATACCACTTAGGGTAGAAAGGAAAATTTTGTAAAAATGGTCCCAAGGCTAGCAATGTTGCAAGGATCTGAGTGTTGGGCATCCAAGAAAAATTTCTAAAAGCATGACAACTGCTGCACTCATGACCCATTGTTGAGATGGTCAATTGGAACCCCTCCAGATGGTTAATTGCCACCCTCGGATCTGCAGTCTCTCTGTGGTATGGCCAGTGGAAGTGAGCCTCACGTGCACCCTGCTCTGCCCCATCCCTGTGTAGTATGTAATACCAAAAAATAATGAGCACAGCAGAAATGTGAATGCTGGAATTGATTCTTTTTGATAATGGTGTATTATATTACTGAAACATATTATCAAAAAAAAAAAAAAGAACAGAGGAAAAATACAGTACAACAGGCAACCAACCCCCAAGCAAGACAACATGCCCCAGCTGGAACCAAAGGAAACATCAAATTTCCCACAAACTCTTGGATTTCAATAACAGAAATGTCTTCTGATTCCTGAAATCATTTACAATGGAGATCCAGGACGCATTTTTTCCCACTGAAAAACTGGTTAGGTCATCCACATCCTTGGACTTGCTTCTGAACAGCCTGTTGTTCCTTAAAGTCCGAATGGTTGTGGTCACAACTGCAGGAATGGATTTCCAGATATATTTTCCTGTATTATTCATACCTGGCAGGGACCAACCCAGCAACAGGTCTTTTGTGGGATCTAGGCAGAGTCCAACATACACCTTCTGCTCCAATAAAATGGTCCCAAGTTCTCATGGCAATAGGGCAGTGAATGCAAATGTTCTATTGATCCCACTTCCTGCCCACAGAGATAGTAGCTCCGTCTTGGTCCTCTTGGATCTGCAAGCACCTCCTTAAATGTCTTTCCTTGGTCAGACATCTCCCCAGAGCATATAAGCCTGGAAGAATAAAAACAAAATGTGCTATAGTTGACAAATGAGCATAGATAGGATTAGAAATGAACATATCCATAACAGGAATGGCCCCAATAGGTGACAAAATTGGGAAAGTAGACCAAGATGGTCATGTGCAGATGAAACATTCTACAGGATCAGTGAGAAGTGACTTGTTGTGAGTTGAAGAGTTAGTAGAGCTAGGGCAGGCCAAAAAGGATATGGATTGAAGTAATAGAAAATAACTTGAGGGTCCATAATTTAATCATGGATGTGACACTATAAGATTCCTTATTGTTATTATAAAAAATAATCATCTGGTAGTTATTGTACAGTGCACAAATTTGAGATGCCAATCCATTCAAATTGGTGATTGAAATAGTATAATAGTATGACAGATCATCTTTATAATTTGTATATTTTATTGTGATAAATGAATAAAGAAAAAAGGGAGAAAGGAGAAGGTAGAAGAGAAGAGAGAACAGGAATAACGGAGATGGTTGGGGTCTAACAAAAGTAAAATGAAATCCCCAATGGGATTGGTATTGCATTAAAGTCCTTGAGTATTTATTTTCTTCCCAAAATAGCCCGTTCTCACTAAAATAATTGAATGCTCCCCCTCAAGCTAGTACTAGCTAGCTTGCCTAGAAAGAAATAAGGTAATCTTGGTAGAATGCTTTAAAGTTTTTTTTTTTTTTTTCTTTTTTCAAACGAGGTAACTTGAAGATTTCAACATGGTGGAAATTAGTTTTTACATCACATTATGAGGTTAAATCACCTTGATCACACTCATATCTACATTTCTCTCATACAAGGCAAGTTGAAGACTATAGCATGGTGGTCAATAACTCTGATGCCACATTATAAGGTTAAATCAGCTTGATTGCACTCATTTCTACACTTTGGGCTCCTACCCATGGCAAGACAAGTCTTCAACTGCCTAGATGGTACTTGTGGAGGCATGGTGGCTTATCACTTTTTCCCAAGACACAACTTCTCATAAAGTCCACCTTTCAGAAAATTCCCTACCCTAGTACTCTAGTAGTGATATACAACTAAACAAAGGCCCAACCGGAAGTCTGACAGTATGAGGAATGCTTTTACTAGAGGTAGGCTTTATTCCTAAGTTGGTGGATTGATTTCGTGTTTGTTTGTATGGGTTTGGTGGTTTGTTTTCTCTATAGTTTTTTAGTTTGAAGAGTATGTTCAAGGGTCTGGTGTTGGTTTATGGAAGGTGGACTTCTGTTTCTTTTTTCTCTTGGGTGACTTATGATCACCTTTCTTGTTTTCTCCTTTTCCTTTTAATAAAATTTTATTTTATTATCAAAAAATTAAATACCTCAATGACACACAAGAATAGATAGCTAAAAAATATGTTGAGTTTTGGGTTGATATCACTTGTTTTTATTTACATAACATAGTTAGGGAGTTATTGGGCCCAAGGTCCATTAGTTTATGTTTAAGTTAAGAGTGCTTGTTTAGTTTTTACAAGTAGCTGACTTACTAAGGCCATACTTGTCTTTGTATTCAGTTTTTATTTGTGAATATATAAGCTAATGAAAGGGGCGGCCATAGTTTTCAAGGTGCCAAGGCAAGGCTAGGCGATGGATATTTTTATGTATAGAAGTAAATCAGTCCTCTAAAACTGATATAAACTTGATTAAAAGTAGAGAGAAAGGTAGAAGAAAAGTAGAGAACATCAGTATAAGGAAGAAGATGAAGTAAAGAAGAGGGAGAAGAAGAAGAGTTCGATAGTCTCCTCTCTCCCCTCTCTAATCCTTTTGTTAATCTTCATTCATTAAGTTAATTACAAGTATGCCCATAAGTGGGCGGCCAGCTAAGGAAGAAGTTAAAGTAAACTTATAAAAAAGAAGTAACACTTCCTTTAACAAACAAATAAATAACACACTACAATGGGCATTGTCTTATTTACATAGGAAATAAATTAAAAGAACATGGGTAAATACATTTACCCGGGTAAATCTTTCCTGGGAAACAATTACCCAAGTAAGTGCATTTACCCGGATAAACAACTTACTGCGAACAGGGCCTTAGTACAATTTGTGCATAATATGTATGAAAGCTACTGATAATAACACATGCATTTTGCAGATCCCAATACCTCATTCATAGCTCCTAGCCAAGATTTTAGTAAGACCAAGTTATTAAATTCCATGCTTTGGTGATCACCTCGTGAAGCAACAAAAGCCCATTCACATGCCAGTCATGCACATGTAGTCTTTCCTCCTGTCTTGATCTTGTTCCCTATCTTTCTCAAACGTTTCAGATTTTGTTTCCTATCATTCAATATTTGATAAATGTCTTTATTGTGGTTGATGGGCTACTTTTCTTTTAAGATTGAGACAAAACTTGGAAAGCAACAGCTTATTTATCGGATAGTTGTTCATTTAGCAGCTGTGTAGCAGTAATTCCACTTGAATTTCGGATTTCAATAAGAAGGGTGGGACAGTGAGTCTTGGGGAGACAGACATGGCCAGAGCTTAATGAATAAATAAGCAACAATACACTCACATACACGCATATATAGTTCACATCACACAGTGACAGATTAAAGAAGAAAACAATGGTTGGGACTTGTAAGCCAACGATGCAAATGAACAATACACAACAACCCATGTTGGAATCACATGCTCATTATATAGAAATGGTTATCAACACCCAAGATTCTCTCTGTCTCTAGCTCCTCTCATGTTCTACAGGACTATAGAACACCATATTTTTCTCAATCTAAACAGTTTTCCTGAAGGAATGCTCAGAATTACATTACAAAGAAAGCAATATGAGGGCCATTCACCTGCAATATCTGAGAGTGTCACAACGTTTGCTTCATTAGTTATCCCCTCTCGGTCTCCCATCCTAATGACATTAGAGCTGAAGCAACAGTTGAGCAGGATAAGAGCTGTGGAGTCATTGTTACACCCTCCATATCATCACTGAAGGCTGAGTGGGTCTGTGTTGAAATGTCTTGAGGATCTTTTTCAGATGCAATGAACTAGGCAGGTCCTGGATCAACACAGGGTTTGGGTTGGGGAGATGTTGGGCGAATCAGTCACATTGTTAGACATGAGTGGCAGAAAATGAAGGAAATGTACCAGACCATCAAATAATCTCTTAGTAGAGAGAAATTTAGAGAGGAGTGGTTTCAGGTAAAAAGATTTGCACATTTTGTTTTTTACTTAAAAAAGGAGGTGAAGTAGAAAAAAATTGAAACGGAGGGATAGAAAAAGTTAAACCTTGTTCTTTCTCTGGTCTTCATCATAATTTAACAGTGGTGATTACCAATATTACCATTATCACAAGAGAAGTTAGTGGTGTTTCAGTTTCTTTCTTCCAAGATTTCTTGTTGTTCATGAAAGGGGAGGGTATGACAGCACAGAGAAATCGAATACAGGTGTTATAGAGATTGAAGGATATGGAGATTAGATTTGAAAGCCTTGAAGATGGATTAGATTGGTGTAATAGCATAATGAACTCGATAGATGTTTCTCTCTCTCTCTCTATGACATAATGAACCCCCATTTTAGGAGACAGGGTGGACTCTCCACAGAGCACGCCCTACAAGCGCCCCACAGCCCATCCCCTCCATGCATTGGGAACATCTGCATTGAGATCTTACCAATGCACGGAGGGGATGGGCTGTGGGGCATGCTCTGTGGGAGCCCATCCAAACTCCCATTTTAGAGCACGGGTTGAATGCATGATTGGGTCTATTGAATTGGGCATTTGCTCATATACATATTAATAAACCTAGAAAATGAAGACTTTAACTCATAACCCATCTAATGATTAGCTTATCAAATAATAATTCATCTCCAAAGATCATTAATTACAATGAATAGTTGCTTAGTTGAATAATTTATTATTAAGCACAATTCATACAGAATTTTGTTAGTATTAGTGCACGGTACTAACCGTGTGTCTGCATACTGAAGTATTATGCTATGTTTTGGTCAATAGCCACATGGAACAAGACAAACTAAAGACATGCCAGACTGCACAATTAATTTCAACCCGTGATCTTGATCCCCATCTATCTAAAAATTTCCAGATTTTGTTTCCTATATGGCCAAAGTTAGTTAATTTGTTTATTGTGGTTGTGGGCTACTGGTCGATCGTTTGAACTTTGAATTGAAACAAATATGGAAAAACGACAATTTAATTCATGGAAAATTGATTTTTAGGTCCCCAACACCAAGAACAATAAGGTAGCTAGAAACAGTGATTTGTTGGGAGACAAAGGGATCATACACCACTTGACAGTGAAAAGCTACTAAATGTATATGAAGAGCATACAGAAGTGGCCATACGTAGGCACATGGACAAATGAAACAGAATAAGGTTCTGACTGGGGAATTGTAAACCAAAAATGTGACAACATCATCTAATATAGAAGCAACCATATACTGATAACATGCTCATTATGGAGAAATGGTGATTTCCAGCGCTCAAGATTCTCCTTGTTTCTCTCCTCTTATTGTCCTTCCATGTGTTTCTATAAATAGATCAACCAAAGGGTCTGTAGAGAACCACCATTTCTCCGATCTAAAGAGTTAATTTCTCTCCAAAGAAAATCTAATCAGCCAGAGAAAGGAGTTGAAGATGGCTGATAGTACTGCAATGCCCGAGAGTCGTTATCATGTTCGCTCCATTAGCTTGCCCACCCGATCCCATCCTACTGCTACTTGTATTGAAGAGGAGCTGAGCAAGCTGAGAGCCTTGGAGTCTTTGTCAACAGCACAATCAGGATCCCAATTGAAGGCAGAATCAATCTGTGTTTCCCTGTTGGGCCTTGCTGAGTTGCACAAGTGCATTGAGAATTTTCTTCAGATGCCACAAACTCAGCAGGCCTTGCTCCATCATCAACACAAGAGATGGGTGGAGGAGATGATAGATGGATCAGTCACATTGTTGGACATAGGTGGTGCTGCAAGGGACATCTTGATTCAAATGAAGGAAATTATCCAAGATATTCAATCAGCTCTTCGCAGAAGAAAATTGGAGGTGTTGCTTAACAAGGTTACAGCATACATTTCCTTCAAGAAAAGGGTGAAGAAGGATGTCAGCAGCTGCCTTAAGACATTGAAGCGATTGGAAGAGAAGTATGTAGCCTGTCCTCTCTTAGATTATGACCATGACTCAGCAATGGTGGTCAGGGTCTTAAGAGAAGTCAGCAGTGTTGCAATTTCTATCTTCTGGGCACTGTTGTCATTCTTGTCCATCCCAGTGTCAAAGCCAAAGGTTGGTAGATGGAATTTGGTGTCAAAGTTGATGCAGAGGGGATTAGTAGCTTGTGACAATGAAGTAGATGTGAGCATGAATGAGGTGGAATCTGTTGATGTTGCACTTTTCGCCCTGTCTCCCTGCAATGCAAGCAAAGATGCTGCAGTTGAGAGTTCACAGACAGCACAAAAAAGGTTGAAGGATCTGGAGGTTAGCCTTGAAAGCGTCGAAGAAGGATTGGACTTCCTTTTTAGGCGACTAATACAGACCAGAGTTTCTTTGCTCAACATCCTCACCCACTAGAGATTCTTCAACAGTTTTGACCACTCAAACCCAACATGGGCATTACATGATACATGAATTGAAGTGTACAGTTGCAATTTCATACATGAAATGGATAATAAATCCATTGACTTTCTTTATTCATCTAATTTTTGGGTTATTGATTCTCATGACTGAGAAGTTTATTTGAGCATCATTAGTTCTTCAACAAAGTTAAAGAGGATGCAAACATTTACCAAATTAAGTCCCACTTATCAGATTCAGATTGCATTGTGTTGACACCGGTTTCATTTGGATTCGGCTGTTGGACACCAAAACTATTAGCATTCTTTGTGAAAAGGTTTATGGAGATTGTTGCCCATATAGTTTAATTTGATACTTTGCATATAGTAAATGTCAATCAAGTACTAAAAGCCTTTGTTGGTCAGTGCATTAGATCCTCCACCAAAGAAAAAAGAAAAAGAAATCTACACAAAATATATGAAGTAAAATTATAGTATTGCAATGCATTTATGGTGCAATTCGATCGTGATCATTAAATTGATAACACCAACAATTCGTTGATCATAGCAACCTTTGACCCAACATGATAAGCATTTCTCTTTCAATTTGTGTTTATGTACTACTGAATGTGCATAAACAATTGCAATGAAAAAGAATGCATAAACAAGAAACCCTTTATTTATACATCCTCATTTCCATGACCATGATACATTATTCCCCTTCCAACAAGAAACCCTTTTCGATTCATCAATATATTTTTTTGATAGTAAGAAGGAAGTTAAAGAAGAAAAAAGCAAAAAACAAAAAAAAAAAGGAAAGAGGAAGAAAACACAGAAGGGGATCCGTCCAGTATTAAACCTAGCCAATTCCTCAAGTAGAACAGAAATGTCCTATACCGAAACTTCCATAATATGAACGCCAAAAAGGCTCCCCCCGCCCCCCCCCC